AGCCAGTGTCCCCTTTGCTAACATGTGCTGGGATGGCACGTGACTGGCCAGATGCCAGAGGAATCTGGTAAGTTGTGTGACATGAAGAAACTTGTGTCGTGTTTTAAAGATTGTGTTACAAATCTCCTTGCTTGTCCTAACCTTGCAGCCACTGTTCCAATACTCACAGCATGTTCACTTTTCTTTAAAAAAAATAAACATTTTCTTGCTTCATTTAAAAAAAAAGAAACAAACAAAATCCAGTAATGAACAACAGAATGGGTAAGACCTTTACATTCAAGAAGCTATCACTAACATCATCCACACAACACAGCATCATAAGCTTCTTTGTGTATTTATCTCCATTTTTCCTATTTCTAGATAAAAATTTGATTTGGGAAAGAGCCCGTGAGTCACCATGCAGTTGGCAGAGCTGAGGTTACAAAAGCAGCTCTAATACCAGATTGTAGTCATGCTGTCAGCTAGGAACCACCGGCCATGCAGCTGCAGGACACCACATTGCAAATTCCTGTCCCACTCCTCACTGTCAAGAGTCAGTTACTTTAATTTTCAAAGCTGAACGTAACCCTTTCTTTCCAAATGAAATGGACAAAAAGGAGACAAAGAAGTTGAATTTCCTATTTTGTTCTAGGTCTGTTTCTACTTTCACAACATGCCCGACATTTTTGTGCCCAAATACAGTATTTTCTGCAGAGGGAAAGGGATAATAGCTCAGAGATCAGTGCACACATGTGCTATCAGAGGATGGGGGCAGCTGTGCAGTGTATAGCATCTGCATCCATCCTGGTATACTTCTAGGCATTACCAGATGCTTAAGTATGAAAAATTAGGCTAAAAAGGATTCTGAAGAATCACCTAGCTTATCTCCTTACCCTAGGCAGGTTCAGGGCTTTCAGAGAGGATGGGACTTCATGTGGAAAAAAAACCCAAAAGTTTTCCAAGCAGCATCTGACAATACTTGCTCATGTTCAGAAGCATAGCCAGTACTACTGCGATGAGCTAAACCTGATGTCTGTTGGGGAGCAGGCACTGTGAAACCCGATGACTTGCTGGAAATCTGAGAGGATTTTTTAATTTCAACAAGGTTCAGATTAGTACTCTGGTCCCCATCTAAATCTGAGGAAGAGGAAAAGGATAAAGCTGAGGCATCCCATTCATTGTCTCTACAAACAAATGGAAGTACCAACAGTGCAACCTCTTTCCAGGGATCTCCTGAATAAAACAGACCTGCTTTTTGGCTTGTTTTACATGTGAAATATCAGGCAGACTGGAAAAAAATTAGTGTGATGGGCAAGTATTTCAGTAAGCCACATTTGGAAAACCTGCCCTTGTCTTGCAAGAGCTTGTTGCCAAGAAGAGTACACATTCTGGAAATTATTTTGCTTATAATGACTGCGATCTTGTGTTTGTTATGGGCTCCAGGGTTATTCCCACTGACCTCCCCAGCAGCAATGGCACAGTCTAAATGCACTCAGCATGGCCTCCCTCCATGTTCCTTAAAGCACAGGGGGGACTTAGTCAAGTAAAGGGGGAGCTGAGTCAGGCCAACTTCAGACTATTTGGAAAACCCTCCCTTGAACATTTGCACGTGACTGAAGACGAGATAACCAGACCTCAGGTGATCATAATGGCAGGGCACAGGCTGTCTACACCTGCTCAGCGTTAGGTGCAGTAAACGACGAGCTGAAAGTCAGGCTCTCAGTGAACTTGAACTTTCAAATTTCGTGTGCGTCAAACCTGGTAATATTCCACTGTTTGTACGAATGAGTCTGGTCCCATCAGTTACCTTCTACATACTGTAGAAAGGCTGTAGTACAAGACAGAGAAAGTGAAGAAAAAGCCAGGAAAAGTGACCTCAGGTTTGACCCAGAACTTAATAAACCTAGCCACAATGGATCTGTTTGAAGCAAGAGAGGGTATATTCAGACATTATTATCTTGACTGACAAGCCAGCATCGCTAATCCGGTGTCCAGAAGCAATGTGCAGCTTCTGTCCTAGGACAAATAACTTGACTGATGCGGCAATCCAGTGCTACCAAGCAATACAGAGGGCACTAGAATTTCATTTAGAAAAGAGTATAATTAAGTAAGGACATATTACTTGGCCCCCAGCAGCACGTAAACATTCAAGTTTTTTCCTAGCTGCACTGTTTTCTAAGAACAATAAAAATGGTCCCCAATGAAAGAGGATGCAGAGCTTGGTTTCTCCCTTTGCTGCACCTCACAGCTGTGCTCATGCTAGAGGACAACATGTTTTTCCTTGCTCAGCACCACTGCAGCATGATGTGATCAGAAAAACTGCTCTTCTTGCTGTGCCTGAGAAACTGGTGTAATGCCATTGGTATGGGGGATCCAACTGTGAAAGCAGCTCAAATCCCTAACTGCAGAACAATGTCATTTTGCCGTGCTTAACCTCTCCACAGCCCTGAAAGACAGAAATAAAACTAGGGATACCAAGAATTATTTTTCAGGGCTTGTCTTTTTAAAGATACTCTTTTTTTTTTTTTTCCCCTCTCAACGAGGCATAACAATGACAAGACATTTCTCATCTGGATTAATGAGGAGGACCACACCAGGGTGATCTCCATGGAGAAGGGTGGCAACATGAAACGGGTGTTTGAAAGATTTTGCCGTGGTTTAAAAGAGGTAGTATCTCAATGAGTTTATTAATCCTGTTTGGGTTTTTTTGGGCTGTTATCTGCACTGCTTACTGTGGTTCATACTGAACTGACATCTCCGGGAGGAACAAAATTAAGTAACACCAGTCCACATAGCAACCCACACTAATGCAGTTAAAGAAGGAAACATGGAAAAATTACTAGCTGAGTTG